AAATATGATATCCCAGAGGTGTTCTATTGGATTTAGGTCAGGCAAGCGTGGGGGCCATTCAATGGTATCAATTCCTTCATCCTCCAGAAACTGCATGCATACGCTCACACATGAGGCCAGATATTGCCGTCCACCAGGAGGAACCCAGGACCCACTACACCAGTGCAGAGTCTGACAATGGGTCCAAGGATTTCATCCCGATACCTAATGGCAGTCAGAGTGCCATTGTTTAGCCTGTAGAGGTCTATGCGTCCCTCCATAGATAGGCCTCCCCAGACCATCACTGACCTACCACCAAAACGGTCATGCTGAACAATGTTACAGGCAGCATAACGTTCTCCAAGGCTTCTAAAGACCCTTTCATGTCTGTCACATGTGCTCAGGGTGAACCTTCTCTAATCTGTGAAAAGCACAAGGCGCCAGTGGCAGCCCACTAGAGGATGTCGGGCCCTCAGGCCAGACTCATGAAATCTGTTTTTCACACCAGTGGCCTGCTGGAGGTCATTTTGTAGGACTCTGGCAGTGCTCATCCTGTTCATCCTTGCACAAAGGAGTAGATACCGGTCCTGCTGATGGGTTAAGGACCTTCTACGGCCCTGTCCAGCTCTCCTAGAGCAACTGCATGTCTCCTGGAATCTCCTCCATGCTCTTCATACTGTGCTGGGAGACACAGAAAACCTTCTGGCAATGGCATGTATTGATGTGCTATCCTGGAGGAATTGGACTGCCTGTGCAACCTCTGTAGGGTCCAGGTATCGCCTCATGCTACCAGTAGTGACACTGACCCTAGCCAAATGCAAAACTAGTGAAAAACAGTCAGAAAAGATGACTAGGAAAAAAAAATGTCAGTGGCCTCCACCTGTAAAACTATTCCGGTTTTGGGGGTTGTCTTATTGTTGCCCATCTAATGCACCTGTTGTTAATTTCATTACACCAAAGCAAGTGAAACTGATTAACAACCCCCTACTTAACTGAGCAGATTAATATCCCAGGAGTTTAATTGACTTGATGCTATATTCTGATTAAAAAGATTTCCTGTAATTTGTTTGAACAGTGTATTTAAAGTGGGACTACGCAGAAGAACACAAATATAATATATTGAAGCTTATCGGTCTTTAGGTGTGGTGGCTGCATTTGTTTTCTTTTTACAGACTTTTTTCTTTATTTTTACCTTTTGATCCTGGCAGAAACACACTTCCTGTGCTAAGGTGGCAATGCTTACTCATTGCAGTAAATGGAGAAGCAGCGTTGTCATCTCTCTTGATTCGGACAACAAGCACCTCCCCCTCTCTTCAAGCTGGGTATAATATAATTAATAAGCAGCACATGAAGTTATCAGCTGGCAAGACTTCTACCAGGATCAATATGTATTTTTTTTTCAAACAGATATAACAAAGCGCACTCTAATAACCTAAAATTTCCTGTTATAGTAGTGTATATCTAAATATAACTGTTCAGTAGATACCAGAGTCTGACCATGATCTTAGGAGCACTCTGTAATCTAACAGTGGCTACGTGGTTAGCACTTCTGCCGAGCAGTACTAGGGTTGTTGGTTCAAATCCCAACCATGGCAATACCTGGCTGGAGTCTGCATATTCTCTCTGTGCCAGTGTGGGTTTCCTCTGTGTGCTCTAGTTTCCTCCCACATTCCAAAAACATGCTGTAAGTTAATTGGCTCCTGTCTAAAGTGGCCCCTTTATGTGTATGTATGAATGTAAGTTAGGGACCTTATATTGTACGCAACTTGAAGGTTATTGACTGACGTGAATGTACAATATATACGTAAAGCGCTACATAAAATTGATGGTGCTATATAAGTACCTGTAATAAATAAATAACAGACATGGTCAGACATACCTCCTCACTTGATCAGCAGAAGAGGAAGAGAGATGGATTTTCATCTATTGCACTGGGCAGGAAACACTAAGTGGAAAAAGCAATCTCAAAGCATTTCTAATACAAAATCAATTGATCATAGGATACAGAGGTACCAAACAATAAAGTAAGGTCGTTTAAATATATAACCAATGCATTTCGCACAGAATATTGCTATGACCACAGTCAGTGTTTTACAGCTTCATTTCTAATTTTTACACAAATACACATGTAATGTAATAAAGAAGGCAAACAATTAAATCATGATCAGGGGAGGACTGAATCAGGGTCAGTAGGGGGCCCCATGAGATGCCCCTGGTACCTTTTTTCATAAGCTTTTTTGAGTTTGGGCAAGGACATAGGGGCCCCATGATCCCCTATTGCCCGGGGGCCCCATGAGTTGTCAGTCTGCCCCTGATCATGATGTTATTAGAAAAGGAGGCTAGTTTGTCAGAGAAACTCAGCCTGGGTTCACACTTGTGCGATGCAACATACCGTGTGTGATTTGCACAGGATCCACACCGCATTCCTGTGCAAATCACATGCGAATTCTCTGTGATGCGATTTGAGCCATACATTTTGCATACAAAATGTATGGCTCAAATCGCACCGCACAAAATTCGCATGTGACTTGCACAGGAATGTGCTACGGTTCCTGTGTGAATCGCACGGGGTATGTTGCACTGCTCAGGTCCTGCACCTTTTTGGTGCGATATGAGCCATAGCTCACATCGCACCAAAAAGGTGCAGGACCTTTTTTTTGGTCCGCACCAGAATCGGATCGCATGGGTGTTCACACCTAAATGATCCGATCCTGCACAGTTTTGTGAACTGATGAACTGATTTTGGGGTGTTGTTAACTTAAAATACACATCCACAATGGTTCATGTGAACGAGGATGCGGTGTGGAAATCGCACAGAAGCCGGTGCAAATTTCACATCGCATCAGTGTAAACTCAGGCTCAATGTTGCCATAGCATAAGATGAATAGCTGGTGATTTTATTTGCCAGAAATTCTCCAGCAAAAATATCCACAGAAACTATAACATATCCTCCTAGTGAAATCTTCGATTGGTTAAGCATTCAAATGGCAAATAAAGAGGAGGTTATTATTCATGAGTGTAAGGTTTGTGTGAATGCATCTTTTCTCTATTACACATAGATCATGTAAATGTGCTCAGAATATATAAAGTCTCCTAGCAGAATGCCAAATTCAGCCATTTTTCTCGCTTTCCATACATCATCAACACAAATTCATTTCTCTCTGTGATATTAAGGGTCACTAACACAATAAATCACATCGGCGGCTCGCTGCCAAAATAATAGATGGTTGCTGCAAACATGAAATATCTAAATGTGTATTGATTGAAGATTATTGCTGTCATTCTCTTCTTCAAAGCAGCGGGAGACAGAAGACTATCATCGTGGGTATAGTTACACCCCTTGAGCCCGAGTGGAAGCTGGTAACCAATGTCCCACAACATCTCATTCATGGTGGGGGGGGGGGGGGGGTTGTGTACTGGGGAGCTTATGTTTCACTGCTGAACAGTTTGCATACACCAATCCTAATGAACTGGCTTATTTGCTATGAAATGCATTGAAGGAGGCCAAAAATAATTCAAGTGTTTACAATCATGCCCATCCTGAGAATTTCTTAAATCCACAGAAGGATTATCATAATGCTTCCATAGTTATACAGTTAGTCAGGTTGAAAAAAAGACACTAATCCATCTAGTTCAACCAATAAAATAATAATAAAAAGCCCTCCATACACACTATCTTATACCCACAGCCAGGGCTTTTTTTTTCTCAGAGAATAGGTGCAGGAACTCCCCCCCCTTGCTCCCCCCGCAACAATGGACCCCCACAACAAAATACCACCTCCGCAACATTAAACCACCTGCAGCAACAACAGATCTCTCAGCAGCGAGTATTAATAGACCCCCCCTTAGTAGCCAGCAACAGAAGATCTCTCCCTCAACAGTAGATCCCTCTCGGGAACAACAACTGACCCCTAGCAACAATATATCCCACCACCAGTAACAATATACCCCCGTGCAAAAAAAAGATCCCCTCCAATGACGAATATATCCCCTAGCATCCAGCTTCAACAGACCTTCCAGCATACCCGAGCACCCCATGCCATTACATACATTCAGTGCTGAAGGTGCCGAAATTGTATTCCCCCACGTTCCTTCTGAAAAAGCTCCCTGACCACAGCTGATCCTGAGGAAGGTAAAAAAAACACCAATAAAACATGATCCAATTTGCTCCAGTAAGGGGAAAAAAATTTCCTTCCTAATCCCCCGAGAGGCAATCAACTAGTCCCTGGATCAACTACCCCTAGTGTTATTATCTCTAAAAACTAGTATCCAGTTACAGTATGTTTTGTACGTTTAGAAACGCATCCATCTTTTTCTAAAACTACTGAGCTGGTCTAGAACCAGATTTTAAGGGAGTCTATTCCACATTTTTACAGCTCTTACTCTGAAGAAGCCTTTCTGTATATGAAAGCTAAATCTCTTATCTTTTACATTTTCCAGACATAAAGAATGCCACCTTGTCCTCTGTAGTGACCTGAAAGTGAATAAGTGCATCAGCTACAGTACTAGAATTACATAACATTTCCACTTATCAAAAGTGCATTTTTCAAGCACCTTTAAAGAATCTGCAAAACAACATTTAAATTTTGATTTGGAACTGTGTGGCTTTTGGTGGTATCTGAACACCACTGGGTTTTTTATTTTTTTGCTATATAAATGAACAAATCCCAAAATTTTGAAAAAAAAACAAGTTTTGCTTAGTTTCTGTTAAAAACTTTTTGCAAATATATAAACATTCTTCATAAATTTACGCCAAAATGTATTCTACTACATTTTTAAGGTAACAATAACCCTAAACAGTGTATATTACTTAGTCTGAAAGTTATAGAATCTACAAACTATGGGATATATACAGTATCTGAAAACTGATCAGTTGAGACAATAAGATGCCGGACGCTGCTATGATGTATGACAGTGATCAGGATTTTGGTATGGGGTATGGCGGTGATCAGGACGTTGGTATGGGGTATGGCAGTGATCAGGATGTTGCCATGAGGTATGGTGGTGATCAAGATGCTGGTATGGGGTTTAGCATTGATCAGGATGCTGGTATGAGGTATGGCAGTGATCAGGACATTGGTACGGTGTATGGTGGTGATCCAGACACTGGTATGACATATGGGGTGATCAAAACGCTGGTATGGGGTATGGCAGTAATCAGGACGCTGGTATGGAGTATGGTGGTGATCAGGAAGCTGGTGTGACATATGGGGTGATCAGAACGTTGCTATGGAGTATGGCAGTGATCAGGATGGTGGTATGGGGTATGGTGGAGATCAGTATGCTGTTATGGCATATGGGGGGATCAGAGCACTGATATGGCGTATTGTGGTTTTCATGGTGCTGGTATTATTATTATTATACAGTATTTATAAAGCGCCAAAAGTTCGCTCAGCGCTGTACATTAAAATGGAAGACAATAAATGAGACAGTACAATAATAATACAATGCGATACACGAGGGGTTCGAGGGCCTGCTCCTTGGAGCTTACAATCTAAGAGGGAGGGGATAGTGGTACAGGAGGAAAAGCTGTGGGGGATGGAGTGGTAGGAAAAGTGGAGGAGATCGACAATTAGCAGGGGGCGGGGTAGGCTTCCCTGAAGAGGTGGGTTTCAGGGTGCGCCTAAAGGAGAGTGGGTGATAGTCTGATGGATTGGGGTAGGGAGTTCCAGAGGATGGGTGATGCCTTGGAGAAGTCCTGGAGGCGGGCATGGGAGGAGGAGACCAGGGAACTAGAGAGAAGGAGGTCTTGTGAGTAGCCTAGAGTGCGTTTTGGGTGGTATTTGGATATTAGGTCGGTGATGTAGTTTGGGGCAGTATTATCGACAGCTTTGTACGTCAGTGTTAGCACTTTGAATTTGGGCAATTCCGTTGGGCAATCGAAAGCCAGTGGAGGGATTGGCAGAGGGGGTGGCGGAAACGGAGCGGTTGGTAAGGTGGATGAGTCTGGCTGCCGTATTGAGGATCGACTGAAGTGGGGATAGCCTGTGGGGAGGCAGGCCAGTGAGGAGGGAGTTGCAGTAGTCGAGTCGTGATATGATGAGGGAGTGGATGAGCTGCTTAGTGGTTTCTGGGGTTAGGAATGGGCGGATTGTGGCGATGTTGCGGAGGTGGAGTCTGCATGAGTTTGTTAGTGATTGGACTTGGGGCTGGAAGGATAGATTGGAGTCAAGAATGACACCAAGTACTCTGGCTTGCGGGGTGGGACTGATGGTGGCATTGTTGGATGTGATGGAGAAGTCAGTGGGGGGGGTGCGCGGGCTGGGGGGAACACTAGGAGATCAGTTTTGGAGAGGTTCAGTTTAAGGAAGTGGAGTGACATCCAATCTGGTATGTCGTTCAGTGGTATGGTGTATAGTGGTGATCAAGGCACTGGTATGACATATGGCAGTGATCATGGTGCTGGTATGGGCTATGGCAGTGATAAAGGTATTGGTATGGTATATGGTGGTGTTATTGTGTGCACTGGGACAGGTGACAGGGGCTGGCTTCATTTTTTATTATGGTTACACTGGGGCAGTAATCAGGGACACTGAGGTTGCAAAATATCAAATGTCGGCAACAAGGTGAAAAATAAAATTTTCTTTATTGTATGCAGAGTAAGATATTCCATAGAGCTATAAATGCTAGTGCATTTCAGTAATAAAAAATCTTGTTCACAGCATGGAATATTTTACTCTTTGCATACAATAAAGAAGAATTGTATTTTTCACCTTGCTGCCACCATTCGATATTTTGGACTTTATATATAAGCAGGTGGAGCCTGTTGGTCTGGCAGTGTATGGAGCTCTAGGCTGAGAATTGCATCAGGTTGTAACACCTAGCCTTTGTTTTGAAACTACATTTGGCTGGTACTGCGGCCTGACAGGCTGCTGTACACTCACAAGCTGCAGCATCACTTTTCCATGCTTTTCTTTTACTTTGTACTGTTTACTATGTGTTTGGACACAGCAATCACAAGGTACAATACCATGTGACCACCTGGACGCAGCGGGTGACACACAGATTACAGGGCTCCCGGGTGCATGCTCTGTGAGCCACGCAGGAGTCTCCGATACAGGCTGACATACAGGTACGTTAGCCCACATCTGCTCTGCTTCCTGTCCACCATCTATAGGCAATGGATGGATGGGAAGCAATTAGGCCCCATGTTACAGGGTGCCAGAGCTTAAGAAACATTAATTACATCCTCCCCTTCGTCACATGACAGTTTTTGGAACTGGTGATTGGCTGCTCTGATCTGACCTAGGTTGCCTACAATAGCTAGCTAAGCGTGTGTCAGGGAAGAAAGCATAGAAATCCTGGGAGATGCACCAATGCCCAGCATGGCCATGTTAATTTGCATAGAAATATGCTCATGCACATCCGAGTGCTGGACGGTGCATCGCACATGCGGGGTGTGATAGTTGCTGGCGCCAGTGGCCTTTATAAGGACTGCAGCTCCTTGTAATAATTTCTGGATTATCGTCAGCCTCCTGTTTCTGTGGGAGTTACCCTGCTGATCACCCATTACTGACCTGGCTTGACCCTGACCTGCTCTTGCTTCTCTCCTGGTTCTTACTCTGGCTTGTTTCTCGGATCTGCTGCTGCCTATTCCTGATCGATGACTTGTGCATGGCCCTGGCTTGCTCCTGACTAAACTCCTGTCTCCGCTCCTGATTGGTGCTACGTGTTTGACCCCTGGCTCTGGCTTCTAACTTCTCTTCCTGCTCTGCACATCTGTCAAGATCCGCCAGTCTTCTAGAGAGTCTGCTGCTGTATCCTCTCTACCCAGGGGTGTCATCTCATCAAGTATCACCAAGCAACTACATCATTGGCATCCCAAGCTTCTTTTGGCACTGCACCTTCTGCTACCACCTTCAGGGGTGCTTTGCATTTAGCCGTAAGGGGAGCCCTCTCGTCACCTCAGCCTCCGTCAAGTACGTGATGCCTTGGCTGTCCCAGGCAGGGGGAAGGGGTAAAAATTTTTCCAGTTTTTTTTTTGGATCCAACCTACTTGCCCTGTGATGGTAATATAAGGGGAGAAAGCCATATACCGAAGGCCAGAGTCAGAGGGAGAAGCCTTTTGCTTGTCCATGGTCGTTGTTCGGGCTTGGGTTGTTAGGAATGCTCTGACACTGTTCTGCAGAGGGGGACTGCTGGGATCTGCAGTTCGCTCAAAGATGCTGCCTTTCTGCCAAGTTAGCAACTTCCACCAACAATGGACTATCATCTCTATAAGGTATGCCTGGGCGGCCACACGCTTGAGTAGTTACACTGGAATGAGATTCTGCACTTTAACCTATTATATTGCAGAAACTTTCAGTAAAGTTTGTTAACATTTTCCTGAGCCTGCTCTGAAGTTACTTAAAGGGGTGCATGAAGGATCAAATGGCAGCTAAATGGACTTGGGTCAGTTTAAGCACAGTTTAAGCACATAGGGGTCATGATGCACGTCAGTCACAAGAGTTAACTCGGCATCAGGACTGAAGGAAGTCAGCAGTTTCCAAGGGTAACTCGGACTGTAGATAAGGGAAAAGCAGCCTGCCATGCAGAATGGTACCTAGGTAAGGTGAGGTGTCCTCCAGTAGCTAGGGAGTCAGTGTACTGTGTATTGACTCCCTCCCCAGCGGTTGGTTTCCCATAGCAACTGGGACCGCACTCACTTTACGGAGACCCACAGCTCAGCTGCATGGTACGGGAGAGAGAGTTGGGAGTTAATGAAGAGCGCACATGAGATCCACGCTAGGTGCTCTGCAGGACCCCATTCTGCCACTGGGAGTGAGGTGGCAGAGGTACAATGGACAGGAAGAGAGGGCATGGGTTCAACGGCGTTCCTCCTAAGTGCAACAGTTCACAGTCAAGGTGTGCTCTGTCACGGGACAGCATGTCTTACTGGGACTCAGTATGTACATTCATTACACAAGGTGCATGGCTCATCTCTAAGTCGGAGGCCTGCCTTAAGGTTGATTTCAATGTTTAAACATTTAACATTTAAACATAGCTGCTGCCTTACCCTGGGGCATTGATGAGCATGGAAAGGTATCCCATGTGCAGGGCGGGTAATCCTGCCCACACTGCCTGATGTAGCCCAAGACCCTGGGGGCCTACAGTCATGTCATTGGTAAGGATAAGCCACCCACATGCTCATCTATACCTTGAAGGACCAGGTATTTCCCAAGGGCTTAGACGGAGCTAAAAATTGACAAGAAAACCCTGCGAGCATGAGCATCAGTGGGTAGGGGAGGATGTTTTTTTTTAAAGGGAACTTGAATGGGCAAAATGACAGAGTATATTTAACAAGAACTTAAAATTCAAACCTATATCCATGCCTGCAAAGAAAGGAGTTAATACTTAACCTTCCCATATATCTGCTGTCTTCATGAACATCTTGTCAGCATTCAGCACACTGTCAGCTGTGAGGTGCCTGGCCCTCTGTTACCCTACTCTGGTCCTTACACCTGTCATAAATCTTCAAATGAACATTTGTACAAAAATTCACATAGCTACAGTCAATGACTTAAAGAATGTCTTTGAAAATTATTTTTCAATTTTTGTTTTCAATGTTGTTTCCCTATGTTAATGATATGTAGATATGTATCTCGATTCCCTGCGGCACGTGGGGCCAAATCTGTTAATATCTGACTAATAAAACTTTGGCAAAAGAAACGTTAGTTGGCTTTTAACATAGAATTTTGGAATGAATGTGATTCCTTGAATGAAAACCACTTTTACTGTTAGAAACTTCCAAAAAAAAATTTCCATCCTACTCTTTAAATTTTCAGGTAAGTACAGTAGAAAATGAACATCATATTGACCCTACAAACCAAGCCAGACTGGCTATAGGGCCCACAGGGCATTTGCCCGATGGGTCAGAGCCGCCTGGATAGGAGAGGTGGCCAGGCGGCACAATAAGGACCATGCATTTCTCGGTTCCTTTTTGTGCTGCCCAGCCGCCTCTCCCATCAACCTCATGTATGCGGTCGGCTCTTGTATGCCCCCGTGGACGCCCACCCTCCTTCATCTCCTCCAGCGGCCCCCTCCCTCATCTCCTGCAGCAGCCCCCCTCATCTCCTCCAGCGGCCTCCCCCTAGTCTCTTCCAGCGACCCTCTTCCTCAACTCCTCCAGCGGCCCCCTCCCTCATCTCCTTTAGCGCTCCCCCTCATCTCCTCCAGCGGCCCCCTCTCTCATCTCTCACTCTGTCTCCTGTTTCTTTTCTTTCTTTCTTTCTTTCTTTCTTTCCTCTTTTTCTTTCTTTCTTCTTTTTCTTTCTTTCATTCTTCTTTTTCTTTCTTTCTTACTTCTTTCTTTCTTCTTTTTCTTTCTTTCTTTCTTTCTTCTTTTTCTTTCTTTCTTAAAAAAAAAATAAAAAATAAAATTGTGAAAAATGAAATAAAAATAAATCCTACTGACACTAGTGGCTGAATTACCAGGATCGCAAAGGTCGCTCTTGAGACCGGGCCCTGGCATTCTGTCACCAGGCTCTGAGGAAAAGGTCCTCGGTCTTTTGGCTGCTCAGTCCAAAGTCCCCGGACCTATTTTATGTCAGGTAATAATGTTCTAACTCTTACCACTATATCAAGAACGAAAAAAATAGTTTTGCCTGGAATTTCCTAGCTATACTTCAACTGCAGTGCTCAAAGTCTAACACACAGAGCCAGGGATTCCCATTATTGGCTGCATAGTACTCAAAAAAGCCCACCATACTTTACCAACAAGCACCTCTGAGAAGTTCAGATGAGAAAGAGAATGGGAACTGAGGAAAAACAAATGTGGAAACTGCAAGGAGGTGAGCAGTGTTTGCTGGTGTCAGGTTCTTGGCTATGCAGGTCCACGGCAGGTTCGGCCTGTGAATATAGTTATGCTTGGTGAGTGATCTTTAAGTTTTTATTTAGCATCTGGAGAAAGGTCTTTAACAAACAGGGTCATGTGAGGGCTCCCTTTTCAGTTTTTTTTTAGCTTCCCATAAAACATATATTAATTATTCAAATATCTGAATTCCAGTTATTCCTAGCATTTTCCCTGTAGAGTTTAGTAGAGTAGTTTAGATTGAAGCTCAATGCGCTGTGATTTCCCATTTGCACAGTCTTACCAGCAATATTAGCTTTCTATGTAACCTTAGACATTAATGACCTTCAACATCCCATCTGAATACTGGTGTACAAAGTTCAGATTAGAAGCTAGTTTGGCAAATATATGAAAATTGGGCATACAGGCTATCACTGAGATATTGGAATCCTTTGTCATGTATTAAATATTTATTTTTAAAACATATATTTATACAAATATAACTCCCAAGGAGTTTACATGGCTGCAGGGTAATAGCCATTGGTGCATGTCTAGTGGCGTATTTACCACAAGGTAGACAAGGCACTTGCCTAGGGCGGCATTTTTCAGAGGGGCAGCACCTCCCCCCCAGAAGAAGGTATGAAAGAAGGGACGCGCATGCCAACCAGGTGGGATCCGAGAGTGGCTGCAGGCTGCTTGATGGTGTATGTAGAGCCTGACTCTCGTTCCTGGAGATGTCCGGAGCTGTGAAGATGAGTGTCTTTCTCTCTATTGCCAGGGGGGGGTAGTGGAAGGCTCTCCCAGGTG